ACATGTTCATGCTTCAGAGAAACTATTTGTATCTCGTAGCTGCATCTTGCAATTAAGCTTTTTTTATTATTTTCCACAGGATGAAGAGTTGAATGAAACATTTCGTTATTCCAAGCAAAATAGTATCCCACGGGATCCTCAACCAAAAAACAGTCTTGTGAAACAGTTCACCGCACAAAATGCAATTAATCCCCTTGAAAGACATCTACATCAGAGATCATCCACAGATTGCTCGCTTGGCTCTGATTTAGATGGGAGTGTAACTGATACAACACACAAATCAGAGGAGGATCTTCTGAGAGACACTGCCCAAGAAACTTCAAGTAACAGTTTTGAGTCCATGAAAAATAAGATCATAATGCTCGAGCGTCAGGCAGAATTGTCAGAAATGGAACTACAGACACTCAGAAAGCAAATTGTGAAAGAAACCAAAAGGGTACAGGAACAGTCGAGACAAATTTCTAATCTAAAAGAAGAGAGAGATGTCCTTAAAATCAAATGTGAGAAACTTAAACTGAGATGTACAGATGAGGTGGATGCAGTAGCTTCAGATAATGCAGGAGCAGATGACAAAAAATCGACAGCTCTATTGGAAGAAATCAGGCATAAACTTCAGAAAGAGAAGAACTTCAATAGCAAATTGATGCTGAAGCTGCAAAAGACGGAAGACTCAAATTCTGAATTGATTCTTACAGTAAGAGATCTCAACAAAATGTTGGACCAGAAAGATAAGGATATTTCGTATCTTTCTGAAAAAGTTAGGTCCAATAAGGATTTGCTAGAGGCCGCTGCGGAGAGAACCCAACTAAAGATTGGTCAGAATGAAGATAGAAAAGCTAAGGAGCTTAAATTTGCAGATGTATCTCAATCACTGAAGCAGACAATTGAAAAATTACAGGATGAAATAGAGGTCTACAAGAAAGACAGCAATGAAATGAAAGCACAGATGGACCAGCTTGAAAGCCATTGCCAAGTGTTGGAAAATGAAATAGAGGTCTACAAGAAAGACAACAATGAAATGAAAGCACAGATGGACCAGCTTGAAAGCCATTGCCAAGTGTTGGAAAATGAAATAGAGGTCTACAAGAAAGACAACAATGAAATGAAAGCACAGATGGACCAGCTTGAAAGCCATTGCCAAGTGTTGGAAGATGAAATAGAGGTCTACAAGAGAGATAACAATAAAATGAAAGCACTAATGGACCAGCTTGAAAGCCATTGCCAAGTGTTGGAAAAGGAAAATGATGATATTAATCATAACCTAGAGCAATGTGAGCTGCAAAACCTGAAAACACAACAAGAACACTCAGAATCTTTAGCCTCTATAAAGCACTTTAAACTCCAGGTGGAGAGACTGGAGGAAGAAATGAAAACACAAACGTCACAGTACTCAAAATCATTGGATACAATAAACGAACTTGAAACACATGTTTCAATGCTGGAGAAAGAACTGGAAACACAGTCGCAGGAATTTGAAGAACATCTGGAAGCAGTCACCCAAGCCAAAGTTAAGCAGGAGCAGAGGGCGATAAAAGCAGAGGAAGGATTGAGAAGGGCAAGGTGGAGTAATGCTAAGGCAGCTCAGAAACTTCAGGAAGAATTAAAAAGACTATCAGATGAAATGACATTGAAGATTGATGAGAAAGAAGAACTGGTCAATGATGCAGTGACGGAAGCAACTGTTCTGCGTGAGGAGAACAAAATTTTAGAGGAATTACTGCAGAAATCTGAAGAAGAACTTAAATCAACAAAAGAACATTATGAAAGAGAAGTTCTTGAATTGAAAGCTTCGTCAATGGAGATAGGAAGGCTAAATCTAGCAGGGTCAGCGCACTGCAAACAAATGGAGCATAGAGAAAAAGTCGGATATGATACGGAGCAAATGGAAAAATCAACTGCTGAAATAGAGGTAGAGCAAAAATTGACCATGCAAAAGGAATTGGAGAGGGAACTAGCTTCAGTGAGGAGGGACGCAGAAATGTTTCTGGAGGAATTGATTCCCTTGAGGACTGAAGTGGATGAAAAGAAGATAATTGAAGAAACCTTACAATCAGAAGTAGAGAAACTACACCTACAGAATGACGAAATGAGATGCAGTACAAATCAACTGAAGTTGGAGAATGAGAACCTGATGAAGCTGGTGCTCAAATTACAGGAACAGGTACTTTGCATTAATAAAAAAGTTAAGACATTTAAAACTTTATGGGATTACTCATAAATTATAGAAGACCTGAAAAGAGAAGAAACTGTTTCTCTTAATGCTCTAATGTATCCCTTTCTTCAACAATGATATTCAATGCCTAGAGGTGAATTAAATTCAAAGAATCATAATGATGACTTTCACTAACAGGTTGTCCTTTCTAGGTAGTATAAGCATTCATCAGGTTGATAGAAAATTCTCTCATTTTTTTATGATACACATCCTTTTTAGATACTACTACAAATACTGATAACCTACAGACGTTTTGCATGTTCCAAAAGTCCATATTCACAGAACAGGTTCGTATATAAGTATGAAGTCAATGCTCCTGTAGAGCTTCAACAAACTTAACAATTCTTAGTACCTTAATCTTTCTTCTACAACTATAAATATTGCATGAAAGCAAAATCGTATTTCATCGTCATCCAAGTTAAATTGTCAATTCATATAGAACAAAGAGAGTCCATTAAAAACCATTAAACCATTGACCTAGATTTGAAGTAACATATTCACAGACATAAGGAGTTGATTCCACTGAACACCAACTTGTTGACATTTCTGTCAAGTTTTCTACACCTAAGATTCCTGTATTCTCATTCGAGTTTTTGACTCCGATTAGCAAAAGACTCACAAAAAGGCTTCAGAAAGCATCACTATATTTCTAAAGGAACTGCTGATCTTGACATACAGGAGGATGAACCACCTGAAGAAGCAACTCAGGATAGTATTGTAGCTGGAGGAAGAAAATGTATGGGGAAGAACATTCATCACCAAGGAAATGGCTTTACAGAAGGAAGAATTGTGCAGAATGGATCCAGAAAAATTGCTAATATAACAAGGTAAACCAATAGAACTTTTACTGAACCATTGCAGCATTGCTAGCATCTATTCAAACAAATTTGTCAACAGTGAGAAACTGCAGTTATATGGAAGGATAAAGAAGAAAAAGAACTTAATTTTATATTCCTTCTGCAGAAGAGAAGTTGATTCAGGAAGAGTGGCAGAAACGATCAATGGCCAATCCCAAAATATACATGATCCTGAAGAATTACGAGGTCAAGTAGCTTTATTGACTGAGAGAAACAAACACATGGAGCATGAATTGAAGGACATGCAAGAAAGATATTCAGAAATAAGTCTTAAATTTGCAGAGGTAGAAGGTGAAAGGCAACAACTTGTCATGGCTTTGCGCAATTTTAAAAATGGAAAGAGGTAGTAGTTTTCCAACTGGTATATGATCCACTCATTAGATTTGCGCAAGTCAACCTTCTGTAGAAGGTAAATGAAGCAGTGGAAAATAAGGTTTAAAAAAGTAGATTCCCTGGCAATAAGAAGATGCTTCAAATCCTCAAACTTCCAACTTCCAGGTCATAGACAAGAAACCTGTCAGAATATCTTGTGATCATTATCTTCCATTCATTTTTGGCCAGCACAATATGACTACTTACTAGATTATTTGCGAGCAGTATATCCAGGTTTCATTCTTCTGTAAAATTTTACACAGGATCTGAAGATCAGTTGATAATGTTCACAAATTATTCACATAATAGAAATGTAAAAGCATGTTTACTTTCCTGTACATAGCAGATATTATTTTGGGATAGACAAAGAAGAACTAGTATGAGTCTAGAAGCAAGTTATTCAAGCTTAAAACGTGGTCCTTTACCATGATCTTGCATGGTCATGGTCATTAATTTCAGATACTACTGATGCAGCTGGTCAATTTATCAATGCAAATTAGGCTGCACATAATCCACGTGGTAGTGGTGGTACCTCCCACCACCCCCACCGCCAAAGGCTAAGAACAACAACAACAACATACCCAGTGTAATCCCACAAGTGCGGAGGGCAGATTGTACACAGACCTTACCCCTGCCTCGTGGAGGTAGTGAAGTTGTTTTCGATAGACCCTCGGCTCAAGAAAAGCAAATTAAAGCAGTTTTAGAAAAAGCAATTACAAAAGCAAATAGGCCATGACAAATAATATGAGAAGCATTTTGAAGAAAAGAAAAAAGGAACAGTAACAACAGCTAAAAAGTATGATAACCTAAGTACAAGAAACAACACATAGTAACAAAAACCGATGGACGAGGGACTACAGCAATGATGCTAATACTACTGGTAAGAAGGGGAAGATGCGGTGCTCCAAACCTCCTAGCCTATCTGACAAAAAGTGAGACAACACTCAATTACAAACTCTACCCTAATCTGCAACCTCCATAACCTCATATCTAAGGTCATGTCCTCAGAAAGTTGAAGATGTGCCAAGTCCTGTCTAATCACCTCTCCCCAAAGGCAAAGAAGGGGGAAATTATTCACAATAAGGTCATTTTTGTATTTTTTTAAGTTCCAGGTTTAGCTTAGGTTAACCAAAAAGTCTCAGATAGAATCAGAAGCCTTGTGTGCCCCCAATTATAACATTGGCAGTAAACTATTTTATCTCTCAGTACTCTAGTTAAAAGTATCGTCATTAGGATTCTTTAGTCATAACATGTTTAACATATGCTTGCTTCTCAAATAAAAAGACTTTTAGATTTAAAGCCAAAAAAAGGTCTTACATATCTTGATATTGTTGATTGCCACTTTACTTCCATAATTGGCTGAACTCACAAAGCAGAGATGCTAAAGAAGAAGAATACCACAGGGGAAAAAAAACAGATTCGGTACATGGTGAATACCATTTTTCCAACACCAGGAATGCAGAATTATGCTATATGAATTGTAAATGATCATGCAATTTGATTAATAATTGATGTCCTAGGAATGTAAGGTCCCAATAAATTCTATGACTTACAATTCTATGACTTACACTTACTGAGAGCTCAGTTGTATTGGCCCAGTATACCTCATATGTGAGAGTTAATATCGTCTTCCCAATGTATGAGAGTTCTTGTCATTCCATACCAGTTTAGTTTGCCCTCCATTTCCGCTTGTTGCAAAGGATAGCTCCTGCAAGTTAGTCATACTATGAAGAATTGTCGAATGAGGAAAACAAACTATTTGAAAAGAATGGTTGAATTCAGCTAAAGAAACAGAATCATTTCAGGCATACCCGTTTTGCTCTTTTATCAACGGGTGTCCATGATGAAATAGGACGATCTGAAGCCTTCTCACTAGAGGATGCTGGTAGCTGCATGCATTTCATACGCCTCTTTCTCCTAGTTGCTGCCTCTTGGAAACTGTTTCCTTGGTACTTGTAAAGTTCCAGAGTAGAGGGACTCTTTCTCTTTGTAACTTTTGATGGTTTCCCAGGGTACCCGTAACAAGGAGCAGATAAGTCACATGGGACAGATTGCTGACGTGACCGACTCTTTTCCCTGATTCTGTTCAGAAATTCAATTGTCCAGGGTGATCCTTGCTGCAATGGAGTGGATTGAAGTGCGTTTGAGAGTGGTGTTTCTCCATAACTGGCTGCATTCTTTTCTTGCTTCATCAGATCACTCACACATATTACTTTCTGGGATATACCCTCATCTGGGACCCATTTCTGGTGCTTAAATTGAATCTTCTTATGATTGAAACCTGCATTTAAATGCTGTCCCAGTCCTTGCCTTGATCCTTGCCCAAGGTCTCTCACAGAAGTGTAGGCATCTAGGCTAGAGCCAATTTCCACAGTATTTAGAAATTCTAGATCACTTGCTCCAAAAAAGAGTTTTTTAGCAGCTGTAGGAATTCCTGTTGTAGGAGTCTCCATTGCATGCACCTGGGTAGAAAAGGACTTGGATTTTGCATTATGAAAGGCTTTGCCAGATCCGACAGTATCATCAATGTTAATAACCTCACCTGTGATATGATCTGTAAAATTTCCTGAATAGTTGTTTTGTCTACCCAATTTGTTCATCATACCCACATCAACTCCCTCTCTTGGATGCAAACACACATCAATTTGTGGAGCCCTGAATTTATTTATATCACCACCTCCCATCTGTGAATTATTAGTCATCTGGTAGTCACAGAGATCAGTTACTTTAAAAAGATCTTTTGTCACATAGGTGTCTAATGACTGCCTGTGAACGCATGGTTCGTTGTCAAATGTTAAGCTAGACTTCCCAAATTCATCAAACAAGTTGATATCATCTGAAATCAAAGAATCACGCAGGCCAGATGCTCTGGGATGATGAAGTCTGCCTTCAGAAAATGTTCTCGGTGGATCAAGATCATATACTTCCCTTGTAGGTATATTCAGATTATCAATATCCCAGGTGGTTTTTCGTTTCGTCCTCCCATAGGTTCTTTTGAAATGAAGACTTTCAGAGTCTGGAGCAGAAGAAACTGAAGAGGAGCAATCTGTCATTACCGATTTAGAATCCTCCCGTTCCCCAAATCTGCTCAAAGCACTCAGTAATATGATGCTTTCATCAGGAACTTGATATTTTTGAACTGCATGAATTCTATGTTCACGAGTCCATCCCAGAAACTCAACAAGCAAGCCTGCTGAAGACAATATTGCATGAGCTGAGAGTGAATTGATTGAAGGAAATGCAGTAAGGAAGGATTCTGCCAGCGTTTGTGACTCAGGCATCTTAGAATAGAGCCCTCTGCTTGTCCTCGAGGAAAGTTCGATACACGATAATATGATCTCATCAGTCATCTCAGAAGAATATGAATAAAAGATCTGTATATCCATGCCCAAGCTAGCAGCCGCAGCGTAGAGCTCATCAGATGACTCCATAATTCCTGATATAAAGTTGCTTTCTCCCTCAAAGACCTAAAGAAGATGGCCAAGAAATACTATATATCATGAATAAAACATTATGTGTAAGCAGGGCTCATGCTAGACTATCTTGGTCTAAAACTATAATAAACAAGTGCTCTTATTTACATTTCCAGTCACTGCTACTTCTTTGAAGTAATCCGCTATATTCAAGAATAACCATGTAATGAAGATCATTATCTTGTGCTTATATCATCATGCCGTACACAAGGTCACTTGAGGTTGAGAGATATTACATGCACATGGTGATAGTACTCAGTTTTCAAACTGTTCACCGAGAACAAAAAGAAGGCCTGTCTCAAGTTGGTCATTGGCATCACATCTGCAATGCAATTGTGAACATCTGGAGCTAAGGAACAGGGAAGAACCGGGAGATTGGAAGCGTAAAGAAATAAGTCTTGAGAATTAATATTTGAATTGCCCTTTAGCTGATAAGCTCATGAAAGGTATAACTCTTGCAATTTCCAATATCAATTTGCCACCAGCCTACCCTCTATCATCAGATCGTCATAATTTTTCTTACTCATTCAATGATGTTATTTCCAGTAATTTTGCATGCCTTCGATTGTAGCAAGTACTACCAGACGACCATCTTGAAGAATATTCAATACTTTGATTTGATATTAGAAGGAGTTAAAAGTAAGCTAGAGATAAAAGAACACTCTGACGAAATGATGGTTGAGGGTGTCAAGATAAAGCAAAGTAAAGATCATTAATGACATAGCTGGAATTAGACTCTGGTACATGGCGAATTGTGACAAGCAACACTGATGGAAGAAACTGGACACTATAAGCAATCAGGAAGTGTTTCTATCTCTCGAAGGGAACGTAACGCATTTCATTTTAACTCACTGAAGTGAATGTAAGAAGTGTATGTAAGTGGAATGTTATAATTTGTAGGAATCACCTTAAACTCTTCAAATTAGTATTCTCAACTATCTCAGTGTCTCACTATTGATATTTTAATCCTGATCAAACAATTGCTGCAAGTACAATTAGCTGAACACAAAGCAGGGCATGAAAAAATGTTTAGATTTTTCTCCAAGTGGATTGCAAACTTTTAAGAACCTAGAAAGCTACATAGAATGAACTTAGACAAGCATGAAATATTCTTTTTAACAAATAATGAGGGAAAAGTCAAAATAGAAAAGACATACTCAATTTTTGAACAATCCTTTTCTGCTCTCAAACACTTGGTTTTGCAGCTAAGAATCTGTATATTTCCTATGTTACAGGGTGGAAAACCATTCAGATATCACAAGTCCATTGTTGTTTTATTTTTGGTTTTCCAGTGCTCTTTCTGAAATAAATGCATTGCATACCTTACATCTAGCACAACACTGTGTAGGTGTGAGCAGTTTGGAAAGAAAAACATGCTACTTACCAGGATGCAGACACTGAAAGCAAAACTGAGTGACGTCAAAATACTTGCTGCAATATTCTCAACACACAGAGGCAAGCAAGAGAAAGCCTCATCGGGGGCAGTAGCTTTCTTTGCAATGTTTTTGCAGTCATACCAAGCAAGGCAAGCTGATGCACTGACTATAATATCGACAGGCTGACGTAAATCACGCTCTACAACCTGTACTCCTTTCTTCTCGAACGCAAGAATCTTTTGGTATGTAGTTCTCCTTGAAATTACCATTTCCTTATCAAAATTGTGTGTGTTAACTATAATGATTGTCTCAGGACAGCTATCTGTGCTTCCACGATTTTGCTCAGATCCTAAACTGAACACTGCATGTTGAGCTGCAGCAGAGCAAGCTTCATTTCCCAGTAATGTCGCCATGTTCTTTTCCACCGGAAGGAAATTCAGCAGTTCTTCAACTGTAACGTCAATCTCATTGAGAGCAGAGAAAGAGTGAGGACCTCCCCCCTAGAAAACGAACATGTCAGAAGTTCTAAACTTTGAAGCCTCTAGGAATGAACAGGAGGAGTCCGTCTACTTCTAGTCTGATCGACAGCATAAAACATTGAACGCTAAACAATTCTCTTCTCTTCATGCAGTGATCAAAGTTAAGGTTTTAGGGCGATTTTATCAGAAGATAAAAGCTCATACTCCAACTGTTGATAATTTACCAGCATATAACAGAATATGACTTGGATGGAGAAAACCTCAGTACCATGTAAAAATGGAAATACATCAGGCCACAGTGAGGTAAATCCCCCACACGGGGAGTTCAAACAAGGAAGCAAGTCAATTGTGTTGAAGAATTATTTCAACCAAGCAATAAAAGGCAGACAGAGCACCAAAAGAATGAGGAAGGGAAGAAACCCAATTACTCAAAAGTACAAACTCATACCTGCAAGATGAATAACTGACCATATTCTAACTTAAAGAATTAACAACCACTGCGTCTCTCGAGTTTGGATATCATGGTTGTTAACACTTTAATGCAAATTGAACTGTATAGTGTGACTCAAGAAAACAGAATAGATAAACAATAAGAATATCGAAAATTTTGACAGTCTCAAACTTTTCATTCCATTTACAAAAACAATTTGGTGTCGTGCATTCCTTGGAAGGAAACACAAAACTATGTGATATTTTTCAAACTGATAGACATCAAGCAAAAGACAGAGACTTGCCATACTAGGTTCATCTGTGTTGGGCATGTCAACGCCATCACAAAGTGCTTTTGCAACACTGGGGTCCTCCAGCTCCACCTTAAGGAAATGAAGAGGAGGAACTCTATCTGACTTAAGCAAGATGGAAGATACTTTAGATGATCCTTGTGAACCTCCATATTCCAAGATGATCTCAAATTTTTCAAATGGAAATGAGGCAGACAGATGCCTGGAAAAAAAATTGGAATATCAATTCATTTCTTTAAATCTCATTTTAAATTTAGGAAACTTGTCAGTAGCATTGTGGTAAACAATATTAAGAACAAATAAATTTGAACCATCTCAATGTAGCCAAACTATATGTTGTCTGTCGTGATACTATTGTGGTGGACTTAATGGTCTGTTGTACCTAGAATTGATTTTTATTTTAATAAAGGGCTTAATGCCCAGTTTTAAATTAAAAACAAAATAAAATTATGGTGGACTTAAGATTTTAGCTCTGAATTCCCATAAGCCAGTTTAAGATTTTGGTTGAAGTTAAAACTAAAGCAAATAACTAGCTTCATTCAAGCATGTTAGAGAGCAAAGATATGATAGAAAAGACAAAAGAAAAAACAAACTAAGCATCAACCAAGACCATTAGATATTCGACACTTTATAAGGATCGCAACAGTTCAAACTCAAGCGTTGTCTGTGAAGTCAATGTTCTTTTCTGGTGGTACTACCTCAGCATTCTAGAGCAATTTATCAAAGAAAAAATATGATTCTTAAGCAGTAAGCACCCATTCAAATTCATGAAAAGTAAATTCATTCAAATACTCCCAGATACCTATAGATATTTTTTTATTTTTTCTTGCCAAATTATATAATTACTATGCATCACTAGGTAATAACTATTTTGAGAACTTTTTGCATAAATACATTTTAATGGCAAAAATCTGAATGCCTCTCTTGCAGAGAAGCAGAAGACCAGTAATATCACATCTATGGGTTATTGCTGTTAAGCATTAATACCATTTACACAGCCAATCTATCTTATGAGAATTAATATCTTAGTTTTGCAGCTAAAAGGAACTACCCAGCTTTAAGTTTAGAATACTTTTCTCCTAAGAGGCACCTTAACACCAGAATTTTACAGATCACCCAATTAAAAGCTCTCTTTATCAGAAATACAACAGCAATTATTATAGACTACCAAAATGTCAAGATGCTGTCTGAAAAGGTCAAAATTTACTAGTAAGTTTCAACCTGGTTAAAAACAGATAACTTTACTATGTGAATCACTAAGGACTAAGCAGGCCACCTGTCAAAATGTTATAGTTTGTCCTGAACACAATTGGAAATAACAAGCAAAGACAACATCCTAAACACAAGGATATGGCCAAGATACCACTGCAAGTTTGATCAACCATACTATTCAACAGGCCAATATCCAAGCATATTTTAGGTTGGAACTACCACTTACTCTTGGGTTACTAAACAGCAATGTGAGATCATTTGCATGCTGGCATCTTCTAATTTGTAAAAATCATTCTTTTGTCCATTATGTGGCTGGCTAAATGCAATATTCATGGAAGTTAATAGTTTCTTCAATGACCACCAGAACACTGGCTCAGCCACAACCAATATTTTTGAACTACCCTTGCTCACAAACGACTGCAGTATATCTTTAATAACAGAAAGCGATGGATGGAACTTATGTATATCTTTTTCACCCTTCTGATGCACATCTTTTATGAGGTTGTAGAGGAAGTCAAGTTTAGAGTTCAATTCCTGCAACCTTCTGTACAACTTTTCTATGTATAGATATGTTGTATGCAGACCATAGTAGCACAGGTACCAAACCATCTGTTTGATCGCGCACAATGTGACCAATGATATTGTGTTATCACCATCCTGGAACAAAGACGTCCTGTACAGACTTCTTTTCTTAATCAAGTCGATGAGCTTTTTCTTTGGAAGGCGGAGAATAGCAATATCGTCCACAGCTTGAGATGGATCCTGAGTCTCAATTAACTCTCTCCGTCTTTCAAAGATAACTTGAAAGATTTTCCTAAGATCATCAATTAGAAGTAGAATATCAGAAGACAACAATATTTGATGCACATTGATATTCCATTGCTGAGGTTGTACTAGTGTGGTATCAGAAGAGAGAAATCTGCTCCGGACCATGGTATTGGTATCAATGGAACTGTCAGCTGGTTTATAGTCTTTGTCTCTACCATACTCTTTTGGATTTAAGAAAAAATCAAGATCATTAAACTCTGACCAGGAGTCACCAAACAAAGATGCCTTTTTAGAACTACATTGGGATGATACTCCTTCAATTGGGAACTTTCCATCCTTCAGAAACTTAGTTGACACTTCTATGTTATGAGGCATGGGAGAAACAGGAATGGCATTTGAAGGTAAACTCAATATTTCTTTGCTCTCCACTCTGTTTGGTTCTTGTGGACTATCACTAGAGAAAAGAAAGTTTGATACAAGCATCTCATTGTCGATGAAATTCAAGCAAAGGTCAATGTTGTTAGCATCTATCTCTCCCAATAAATTGAAGAAGTCTTCTCGACACTTGCATTTCTCTTCTTCCACAAAATGCCAATCTAAGTATAATCCATCAGACATGGAGGAAGACTGTGGCTCCAACTCAGCTAGGATTTCCTTAATACACAAGTGCAATGACTTTATATCTCCATTCTCAGAAATTAGCGGCACAGGCAGTGATCTGAAAGAATTATCCACAGGAATGAGCTCATGGGAAACAATCAATTCGTCGAAGTTCCTGAAATTGTCAGCCTCCCTCAACATCAGGTCACATGTATCCTCAACGTCTACTTTTACTTCAGACAGCAATTCACCAAAAGTATAAAGGTCTGAATCAAAGAATTGCAGTTCATCAAAAATGATAGGGTTTCCTACCCAAATTGGACCATCATTTTCTATGCCTTGATGAATCACCGAGTTTTTCTCAAGTTCAATAATACTTATCAAATTCATCTCTAAAGAGAAATTCAAGCACGGAACCTCAACTTCAAGGCAGTCCGTTGCTGAACTACCATTTGACAGGTATTGCAATGTGTCAAACTTTGTGGAATCCAAAAGCTCATTTATGTTACCCATTCCTTCACTTCCTGGTGTCTCACACTGAAGCTCAATATTTTCAAAGATTAGAACTTTCTCCTTTATAGAGTTGTCGCTGACAATACCCAAACCTGCCTCATCGACTTCGAGAAGAGGAAAGACATATGTACTAGAATGATGTTTCCCCTGACTGAAACCACTATCTTCAAGCCAATCAGAGCTTTTCTCCAGAAAAGACACAGAACAAATGTCATCCACTGAACAAATTGATTGCAGAGTGTCAAGGGAATGTTGCAGCCTAACTTCAAGACCAGGCATATCCTGCAATAAGTGAACAATGATGTGCCAAACCAGTTAGCGATCATTAACAAGTGAAAGTATTGGTTACGTCCTTCCCTTTCCTTCATTCAGTCTGAGAAAAGTAAATTAACAAGATGGCATGGAGTACAATTTCTTCACAGTCCTCCACAATGAACAGGCTTCAAATAAAAGGTCACTATGTCATTAAGCATCATTATCCCTTAGAATCATATGGAAAGGAAAGATGTTTGAAACTGAAGGATGACACATATTGACATATGAATGGTCTTGGTGTTGCATAAAATATCCCAGCAAATTGTGTTTAAGAACCTAATTACGTGATTCTTAGATTTCAATAGTCAAGTAAGGCAATCAGAGAACAGAAAAGAAGAAACTAGTGATATAGTTTCTCAAATGATGATTGGGGCTGACAAGAAAAAAGGTAGAGGATATTGTCTTCAGAATCAGAGTACCCAGCTGCATATATATATTTAGAAGAGATGAAAGAACAGACTATCTTAAGACTTGAGAGCTTCAACCCATGCATGTAACTAAAAATTATATCATATTCAAAATGACCAAGCTTCTTCCATCAATATGAACCACTGGTTTTTTATTTCTGACCAAAGACTTCTTCCTTGACAGAAAGAGAGGAGTTGGTAATTCCCATCCTATGTAGTTAACCATCATCACAAAAGTTAGCAAATATAAACCAAAAGCATTTCCCTGCAATCATAAAAACTTAAATGCCAGAAGAAATAAGTAAGTCATCAAAATATTACCAGCTTATTTCCATCATCTGAAATCTCAGACAGAATCAGCATGTTCTCCTTTCCAAAATGAGGGATATCTTCTAGCTGACAACAGGAGAACAGACAAATGCAGATGTTCACATGAGAATTTAGCTAGTAGCATATAAATTATATCTGCTTGATTGCCGAGATGGTTTACCAATTGAAGTGAAGATGAATCCAGCTCTGGAATTTCAAATTGGACCATTTCGAGATTGTCCTTCCCCTTGCCATAGGAAACCATAGTCCCCTGCAATAAATAAGTATAAAAGCAGCCTAAAGCAGATGTAATTTTAATGTGGTAAGACAAAAATTAGTACTAATACTTTTTTGCAATCAACTTCTACTCTATCTCAGTTTAGATTAATTTTCTTTTTATTGCAAAAACCTCATTCGTTTTCTGAAAGACGATGCAGTACATGTATGCTTTTACGTATAACATTTCAACATAACATTAACTCATAAAAATAAAGTAGTTACCAATATTACAATACAAACTCAGGCAGTGCTGCCTTGGTAAAGCACATGCAGCCATCTCGAGCAAGTCTTCCAGGAATCTGAAATCTTAACTTTCTAAAGATTTATTTTAATATTGAAAAACCTTAACCTGTAGTTGTATGTTTGATAATATTGGAAGGTTGTAAGGATGAATATGAGTTTTGAATCATGCAACTTGCAAACAATTCTCTTATTTTCATCATATCTATACCATACGCCCTTCATTAGAAATTTTCAAAATTACCATAAATGAAGAAGAAACATATCAAAATTCTGTTAATATGCAGTATCTTTTAAAATTATTTCCAAACTAAAAGTGCTAACTATTGAGTCTCATATTCTAGACTTCTGCTGCTGCAGACAGGAGTGATTGCCAGTGTAGTGACGAGTCCAGTGTACTTGAAGACATGAAGCTCCCATTGGAAGTGACAAATCCTTAACTAAATCTAATTGACTGCTAACTCGATGTAAATTTGGGAGAGATCCTCAATCAACATAAGCATTCATTTTAATTAAACACTACAATTCATAAAAGCTTTACATCTAAAATTCTTCGCTTTTAAGCAAATTAGATCCTCCTTATAATATCAGCCTCTTACCAGACGCATCAATGCATCAGATAAGTGAATATTTTCACGATGAAGTTAATGAATAGCATTTAAACCCTAGCCAAGTTCCAATTATGCTCAGCATTTACCTCTGTAGTAATTCCGCTTGTTTCCTCGGGACTGCAACTTCCCTGCTCGTCAACGTCAAGCTTTCCGGCGAACGGCCGAGGATCTGCGAACTCAGCAAGTTCAACATCAATCCTGTGCGGAAAGACATATGAGAAGAAGCGAGAGAGAGTTTTCTCAATCGGAAATCTCTCGATTTCAACATCGATACTAAGTGTAGGAAGTTCGTCAAAACAATGAAGGTCTTCAAAAATGGAGGTGTTCGAAGTAGGGAGGTGTGGAAGAGGGAGGCGGAGGAAATCGCCGGCTGGAAATTGAGCGGAATTGAAGTAATCCTTGCCGAGAAATCGAGTTCGCATATCCTGATTACGGTGAGGTTTTCTGGGAGAGAGAAAGAGTAGTGAGAAGAGTGAAGATTTTGAAATGTAACGGATTGTAATTGAAAAATTGAAATGGCGCCCACGATGATTCGACGGTGTAAATATATTGAGTTACTTCCCGCTAAAATTAGGGGTCATCGTGGCCATGTGTTCTTTCCCCTTTCTCTCTTGTTTCTTTTTCCTACTTATTGAGATGATCAAATGAAATAATGTTGAGCATTATTTGTCATTTGTAATTTGTAAGTGGTAAGATGCGTTCGTAATCTAATTTTTTTTTTGAAATAAATTATATTATGATTATAAAATATTCTTTAAAAAAATTATGCATATAGTCAGAATTTGAATTTGTTAAACATGAGATTGGAGGTTCTTTAATCTAAAAAAATTAGAGATGTTAGGTTACAAGGCTAACTCATCTATCGGCTTCTTTCGTAGATTGATGTAATTTTATGAAGTGTAGCAAATGATTGAGGAATTCATGTTAAAATTCCAATTTATTTAACTTTAACACACTCTATAAAGTATGTGTTTTGTAATGTCTTTGTCCAGAGCTTCCATTCCATCAAGCTCTTTGAAGGAATATGTATATGAATATTTTATGCAAAATCCTTCATAAATACATAGTAATGTATATACATAATTACAAATTTATCTTGAATAGTTTGCATATTAGTTGAGAACCTAACTCTACGAGAGTTGAACGAAAGCGTAAAATGAGCACACCCAATAAATACTGAATTTAAAATTTGTAAATTATACTTAAATATTTTTAAAAATAATTTATAGAGTAATATTTTTTGTGTAATTTTTAACTATTTAAATATAATTTTTAAATAACATCTAAAACGGTTCGAGATCCTGTGATCTCAAGGCAGTTCAATTATTTCCAACCCCCTAAAAAAAATGGCAGTTCAATTATTAAATATTAACAATTGAAAACTGCTTGAACGTGAGTAATATAATAGATCGAACTTAGCGACTTATTCAATTTTACGGTCATCGGAACTTTTTTCTGGATTTTTCTATTCAATGTCAACATTTTGTCTGGATTTTTCTATTTAGTGTCAACAATTTATATTAAAATCTGACTATATTTAAATTATAATTACTCTATTAAATTTGAATTCCGCGATTGATCAGGAGTAGCGCTCCATAAGAAGTTGAAAGATAAGAAAGCCGACATTCTTATTTTGCGGTTCATTTTTGAGGGCCAATCACGTAGATATAGAAGGCCACGTCCACAGTAGTGTCCCATAAAGGTCGTTCCACGCGTCCTATAACAAGAGACGTGCTTCGCCGAATAAATACGTGTATCCTTCAGAGAACGCCACTCCCATGCAAAGGTGGTCAATTAGTTCAATTCTTCACTCTATAAACTATTCCCATCCTTTTATCTCTTTTCAAAATTCAAAAAACAATTATCTTCTTTTTCTTTCTTCTGAAAACTACTATTGTACCGTATACACATTTCTTTCGAAACCCAAAAAGAGCATAATTAGCTAGATATCATGGAGACACAATTGCACCGTCCACAGGATACAGGGTTGCACTCAGGTGAAAAATTGTTAATGAAATTTGAAAGGAAGTGTTTTGTTTATTTATTAATTGTTTGTTTTTATGATTGAAGGGGAAGGACATGGTCAAATTCATGATGAAGGTGAACATCATCATAAGCAATCAGTGTTGAAGAAAGTTAAGGCAAAGGCAAAAAAGATCAAGGATCATCTAAAACATGGTCTTGGACACGATCACGGTCATGAACACGAACACGAGCACGAGCAGCATTCACTCCAAGGCGATGAAGAAGAAACTGATGATGAAGAAATGGAGGAAGTTGCAGCAGTTCATGGTGGACCATGTACGTTCTCAATAATTTTAGCATATTAATTAATTACGACTTAGATAATTGCTTCCTGTCTTATGACTAGTGAATTTTTGTTGCAATTGGCATGGATTAGATGCTATTAGGAGTAAAGATATTCCAAAAGAGGAAGTTGTGCCAATGGGTAATTTAGAGAATCCAACTAGCCCAAAGGAGGATCGTTATGATTCTAAGATGAAGAATGAAGATGTGCATAGGCCAATTTTGCAGAGGCAAGACGAATTTGCGAGGCCACCCTCTTTGGAGGGGATTCACTTCCCCGAAGAAAGACATAAACCTGTTTTTACTGGGACTCATGAGACGACCAAGGGCATTGATGATGATCATATTACTGCCCTTGGAAAACATGAACATCAAGGACATGAAAATACTGGAGCACCAATGGGCCTAGCGGATCATCATGCTGCCCACAGACCAGTTACTGCTGCCGAAACTCGTGAAACTAAGGGCTTTGATCATCATGTTATTGCCCCTGGAGCACAAGGTCATCAAGGACTGCAGGGGCATGAAAATATTATTGGAGCAACAGGCGTAGTGGATCATCATGCTGCTGCCGCCCACAGACCGATTACTACTGCTGCTGAAACTCATGAGACTAAGGGCTTTGATCATGTTACTGCTCCAGGAGCACAAGTCCATCAAGGACTGCAGGGTACTGAAAATATTATTGGAGCACCAATAGGTTTGGCGAATCCTCACGCTTCCCACTTACATGAACAGATGCAGATGCCACCTGTTGTTACTGATACAGGAGCCCGTGGGGAACTAAATGATCAAGGACTGCAGGGGCACAAATTTAAAGTACTAACAGGTTTAGAGGAGGATCCTAACGTTCCTAAAGATTATCCAAATCCGACAAACTATCAAAGCAAAGTCACCGATCCAACAGGCGCCAGTAAGTTTTACTTCTCTGTTCAAATTGCTATTTGACTAATTAATCCTTGTATAAAGTAAAATAGATGCTATGTATTTTGATTGTAACAGACGATGAGGAGGCGGGAGTTAGCCCACTTGTTCAATCGTTCGAAAAAATGGGCGTGAACGATGTTCCGGAAACAACACGAATAAGAACAGAGCCAAAAGCAGGGGATTTTCAATTTGATCAAGGAACAGAACATAGCCAGTATACAGGATCACATGATCAATTTGCTCCGCAAGAATCGCCTACAGTTTTCCCCTCAGTTCGTGAAAATACTGAATCAATTCCTAAGAGTATCAATCCAGAGGATTTACCTCAGGACATTCTAACTGGGAAACCAGGTAGCTATACAGAAAAGCTTTCATCCGCAACATCAGCAATTGCTGATAAGGCGGTTGCTGCTAAGAACATTGTCGCCTCCAAACTCGGGTATGGTGGAACAGAGGAGGAAACTAAGGCAACAGCAGGCGATAAAGATGCAACAAAAACAACCTCAGCAACTGAATTTGCACAAAAAGCTGCAAGCGCAGTTGCAGGAAAACTTGCTCCGGTTTATGAGAAAGTAGCAGTTGCTGGTAGCACAGTCGTGGCGAAAGTTACAGGACATGAAAACAGGGGAGGTGTTGATGCAGAGCATGAAGTGAAGACTGATAAAGGGGTGTCAATGACGGAGTATTTAGCAGAGAAGTTTAAGCCTGGAGAGGAAGACAGAGCACTTTCTGAAGTGATTTCAGGTTCACTTTCAAGACAGAAGGAGAAAACAGAGGAAACAGGGGAGGCAAAGCCAATGGGGAAGGTGACCGAATCAGTGGAAGTTGAAAGGCGATTAGGTCCTATTGAACCCACAAAGAAAGAAGAAGAAGTTGGTGCTTCTGGAGAAACAAAAGTTGGTGAAAATTTCGGACAGGGGGTGATGGATAGGGTTAAAGGTGCTGTAAGTACATGGCTTGGGAAAGGTGTTGAAGCACAGGCAAATGGTAAGCAAATAGATACTTTCTGCCCATTTTGATATCCATCGGCATTGTAAATTAATTTCATTTTTGGGTTTTTGTATTCAGATTCTGCTACGGGTGGAGGCGCTGTTGTTGGGGGGAGGGGTTAAATGATCAAACCATGTTTTGCTAAATCTTCAGCAACCAGGCAATTGAAGTTGTTACAACGACTTCTTTTGCTTATATATACATGCGTTTTCGCCTAATTTTCTACGTCTTGTTCTGTTGTTTTGTTTATGGGAAAAGTGATCAGGATGCTGCTGATGATTTCTAGGAAAGTTATACTTTGCATATTATGTATGTTGTTTTGTAAGTGTTCCACTGAAGTGTGTACTCATATTACATGTAACTTTTTCTGTATCTATTGGTGGTGTATTCCTCAAAGGCCAACGTTGTTAGATTTGTATTGAGTCCGTCCTTTCAATTGTTTTTCTGGCTAAAAGTCTACTGAAATTGAACTGATTATGTATCTGTTCAATTTGTAGTAACGCGTAAACTCTATATCGCGCTGTGCTAATTTTCATCAAGCTTAAGAAAATCTAGAGCAGAGACGGAGTACAGCATGCATAATAATCTTAAAGCCTTGTGAAATTTAATTGTATAGGTCGCTTAATCAACGTTTTGTCACTAGTTGTGGTTAGGATTCAGAATTTATGTGAATGGGGTTTGAAATATAAAGAAGTAAATATGTGAAAATTACAAAATAAAAAACTGAGCTAGATTTTGCCTTATCATGTCACGTTTAGTTTTTTTTACTTTTACCCTATTCATCGAGCTTTTTTTTAAATATTTTTTGTGCTTTTTTTCTATTTTATATTGCAATGTTTTACTCTATTTTTTTAAAATTCGACCACTAAGATATTATAATATATATTTATAAGATAAATAATTGACATTGTCGATTTTTTAGTTCATTTAATTCAAATTACTAAGTTAGTCATTCTTGAAAAAGACAAATGATGAATAGAACAAATAAGTTTAGTTTAGAACTGAAAAAAAAATACTATAAAATTAAGGGGGGGAATCAATTAATTAGATTTTATTAAAAGATTATTCACGACTTTTAAATTTCTTCATTTAATTAACTTTAATTTAATTTCTTTTATATAATATTTTTTGTAAATCAATTTCAAATTTAATAATAATTCATCGTTAGTATATGGAAAGAGACTTATGTAGAAATAAAATGAAAAGTATCAATAAGAAGAATAAAAGACAAAAGTATCTAAAATATGTCTAATAAATTTAAACAAAGATAAATTGAGAAAAAGAAATAGCATAGACAGAAAAATAATGATAAAAAAAATAATAAAACTTTACATTGAACCAAAAACAATGAGCATTTCATTGAGTTGGGATTTTGAGCACGAAACCAGAGCCCATTCACCAAAGCAAATAAAAACAAGCGGGAAAATGTTGCAAGTGAGAATCGAACCCGAACCATCTCAGTCAAAATTGAACCCCTTAGCCGTTGTTCGATGAGTCATGCTTCTCTTTTGTTTTGAGAGGGTTCATTTTAATATATGTACTCATAAAATCAGAAATAGACCTTATATATATAGTGTAATTTTTCAACAAGAGGATTCGAGTGAACCCCTGACCTCCACGTGGATTGATTCGCCCCTGGTTGTGGTACTGATATGCATTTTTTTCAGAGAGAAATTTGATATACGTAATCACTATTTATAAGTTCATAATCACTAATTAGTTGACATACTAACTAAATAGTTGGTGATAATTTTTTGAGTTATAATTTCCACTTTAGGTGGTGTACACTTTATTATTAAATGAGTAAATTATGGGTGGACGAAATTATTAAATGGGTCGAACAGGTTTGGTATTTGTATGTGTTCAGATTGAGAGCTAGCTAATACATAACTCTATTAATTAGTTAATTAGGTTAACAATATGAGTCATCATTACGCATGTACACAGTTTCTGTTGTCTGTTAATGAAAGAATTGTGCCAAACTCTAGAAGCCATCAAAGATACAAATGGAGTTTTCATTCAAAAATTAAAGGGCTTACAAAAATGGACAAAGGAAACATTGTTTTACTAGGAAAACAGTACAACTAAATTTATATACAAGGTTAATGATATGCGTTATCTATTTAGTCTATATAGCTGATTATTAGCAGTTGAATATTGTGCAATAAACTAAAGAATCAAAATGCGAGTAAAGGAGTTATGAAGCTTTTATGGTTCGGGGTTATAATAAAAGTTGAATCTAAGGAAATTTACGTATGATTTTATGCAAAATAAAAAATAACATAACTAATACCTATATTATTTTTATTTACTATGATTTTAATCAACCACCAAACGAAGGGTCACATTCAAGCAATTGGATGAGTAAAACAAAATTCTTTTCATAAAAGTCGGGCTATGTGATATCGAATTCAGAGAAAGGGATGTTACACGAGGCTACAATTGTCCAAAAAAATGCGCGCACAATAAACAATTAATATCAAAGCTACCGTCAGGGGCTGCTCAACGTAACTGGGGGCCTAAAGCGAAATTTCAATTCGCGGCCTAAAATATAAATACACTTCATATACGTATTTATTCAAAAAAGAAAAATTACACTATTAAGATGAAAATTATTAGTACTTAATATTGTTTTTTGAGTTACTAGTTTTAGGTAAGATTTTATCAACACAACATTGAAAAACATCCTTTAAGTGAGACAATTATTATATGCATTGTTAACATAATGATATAAGTAATAAGTTGATAAATATTAAATAAAGATAAGAGTTAGAAGTTTAGAATCATAGAATTTGACTCAAAAAGTTGATGACTTGGTATACCTCATTTTAATATGCTTAGAGTAATGCTTGAAACTAAAATTTAAAAAGAAATAAAAAAGAATTTGTAATTCACTTTGTTCAACATTTTTCACTGTTAATTCTTATTTTTAACAAAGTACAAAAGATGTTAAAGTGGATAAAATAATTTATTTTTAAAAAAATTATACTTTTTATCATAAATAATTAATTTTTCTATAAAAATTTTAACACATAATTTATTCTTGACAAAAATTTGGGGCCCTCGAAATTTGGGGGCCTAAGGCAAAGGCCTTATTTTTAAAAGCATAGAGTCGGCCCTGGCTACCGTAATAATTCTTGTATTTCACTTGTGAAATTATATTTCATTATTTTGTATTTTTGTATATTATTATTATTTTATATATTATCATAGTTAATAAAGGTGCATGGTGAGAATCACAATTGCAATAATTTATGTACATGATCCCAATATATTCTATGTATAACATAAATTCACTAAAATTGTTGTTATATGAACTCATAACTTTGAAAATATGAATATGTCCAATATAAGAGTCTTAAAAAATTAAATTCATAAAAATCAAATTTCAAATATACTTGAACAAAAGTGCATGTACAAATCCATTATAATATACATTATTTATTAATTTGATATAGTGTGAATGCCAACATATTCATGATTTTCCCATTTTTCTCCAATAAACTCGAGAAGAAATAAAATAGATTTCATATTTTCAACATTATACCGCCAATAAAAAAAGAGTAATTATTAATTATGTAACAGCAAGAATCAAGCAAAAAGTTTCTCAAACATAGTTGCAATTTGAATACTTCAAATAGAGATGATGTTTCACTTTGCTTCTGCTTTCTTCTCTTCTTTCTTTTCCTCCTTCTTCTCTTCCTTTTTTTCTTCTTTCTTTTCCTCTTTTTTCTCTTCCTTTTTTTCTTCCTTCTTCTCTTCCTTAGCTGGTCCCACTGATAATATATCAACTTTACCAACAGCTTTTTTCAATTTCTTCACCACTGCTACTGCATCCATCTCTCCTATCACTGTTAATTTTTGCTCCTTTAGATCTGCTGCTATTGAATCTACACCTGTTTAATTAAAAACTAATTCAATTTTACTGATACTAGATCTTCAAAATCAGCCAGGGGCATTTTAGTCAGTAATTACCTAAAATATCAGCTGCAGCTTCTATGGCTTTCTGCTTTGTCTTTTCATCAGACATGGTTAGCACCTTCATTACAACTTTCATCTGATGGATTGACAAAAAAAACACAAATATTACTTATTCAATAGCTCAGTCGAATCTTTTTGATAAAGGTTCGATTCTCCGCTTTGTAATTTCAATTTAAAAAAGGGGAAGGAGAAAGATCTATTGGACTAGAGAAATCTATAAAAGGGAATTAAGTTAAAAAAGAACAAAATTAAAGAACATACAAATATAGAATATGTATTATATTTTTTTACAGTACCTGAGCCATTTTGGAGAACTCGAAGGAGTGCTTTGGATACTTATTTGACGAAAATGAAGAAGCTTTAAAAATACGCCGTTATTATTATATTATTATATAGGGGACAAAAACAATGTGATGTCAAAAGGAAAAATATTTTTTTTCATTAAAAAAGAAAAGAAGATTTGGTACCCCGCATTTGTATTAATTTAATAAAATAAGTAATACTTACATATGTTTATACCTAATACTTAATTAGATTTTTTTTACTAATCCTCTCACTTAAACATGACGTATTAGGGTCCGTTTGAACATAACTTTTTTTTTCTTTCTAAAATCGATTTGGTTATACACTATAACAATAATATTATATCCCATATAACTCGACAAATGAAGAATAATGAGTAAATTTAGACCTTATTAAGATTAAAAAATTCATTTTTGATAGATCTTGATTTAAAAAATATATATGCAATTTCAACTTTTACATATATTTTAATTGATTATAAATATTACTAAAAAAAATCAAGGGTGACGGAACATGAATAAACATTTTGGGTGTCAAAATGTGGGTGTCGAGAAGTCTTATGCTGACCAGAAAGATGCTGCCTATGACGCATTTGAGTGGAAATCTAGGCAGATTGCATATACTTTAACCTATTAGGTCCTTCAATTTCTCCTCTTTTTTTTTTTTTTTTTTTTTTTTTGATATATGACCCTTGAGATTTAAATGTTTTATCCAAAAAAAAATTATATTCAAGCAAATAGAATTAATTACCTACATTACAAAGCGATCCTTCAAACATTTTTACATGTTTTTGTGTATTAATGGGAAAAAAGAGTAAGATCTGAATATTCTTAAGATTTCGATTTTCTTAAGGTTGAGAATTTTGGGGAATTATCTATATGTTGAATTTCCGTGAGCCAAAATTAAAAGTTGAAAAACCAGTAGGCAAGAACCACCCATTATATTACAAAGAGAAAGAGGTGGTCGGGGTGGACATGGTATGATATATATCGAATTATTAAATTATATGAAAAAGTTTAATATCGTAGTTTTAGTTTATGATATTTGATGATGTGGTATATAGTATATATTTTAATATTTTTGATATTTGATACGATATTTGGTATTTAGAAATAATTTACTGAAATATCGAATACCATATGGAAATATATAATTACATAAATAACATATATATATATATATATATATATATATATTATTAAAATATAAATAAATATGCAATCTAGTATTAGTATATATAAACTAAATGTTTAGAAGTTGAAACTTTGACTACTCTATTTGATTAACAAAATGAGTTGTTTGTACTATGATTATCGATTTACCATATCATAAAATATCAAAACCAAACTGTAATATACCGAATCATACTGAATTAAATTAATATGATAATAATATAATATTTTGAAAAAACGAATACCAAAATTACGATATCAAAATTTTCAATTATTGTACCATTCCATGCCCATCTCTGGTCACAGTTATATATTTCCAAGACCTTATTTCAACAATTTCGGAGTTGAAGAATCTGAATCTTTATATTACAAAGAGAAAGAGGTGGGTAATTGCTAATGGTGACAATGACTGTATATAGTGATTGATTGTGACGGTGGATGATATACCGTGATAATTAATATTGTGATGAATGACAACAATGTTTGATGATATGTAATGATGATTAATAGTGGTGATTATCGAAAGTAATGTGTTGTAGTGATGATTGATAGTGATAATTGTACATAATAGCTGCTAATGTTAACGATTATTTGTAGTGATTAACATTAATGAATGGAAATAAATGGTAATAGTCGATAATGATGGACGAAATAATTGTTCTTGATTATTATAGGCAATTGCAATTGTAGTGAATAAATCAAATTGATGAATTGATATCTTAACCATTAAAATTAATTCACATCAAAACACAATTAATAGATAAGATTTGAATAATTAAAATTCAATCTAAAAAAAACTAACTAACTTAATAATTGAAATATAACTAACTAAAATTAATGCCTTCATTAAATGCAAACAAATAAAATTTTAATTAGTTTGGTGTTTGGAGGACAACAGGTCACCCTTAAGACCATCTCCAACCCACCTTTATTTTACTCTCCATACTCTATATTTGGAGACTAAAATAGAAAATGGGCACTCCAACCCACCTCCAAATCACCCTCTATTCTTCAAATTTAGAGAGTTGAATAGTAGTTCTCCAAATTTGGAGAACTACTATTCACACTCTCTATTTCACTTTTTCATTATTTTATTATTATTTCTATTACTTTCTAATTAACATATTATTTTACATATAATTCTATTAATTAAATATCTAATATTCATAATTCCTTTTTAAATGTAATATAATATTTTTAAATATTATTTAATATATACTATTTTAATTTCAAATTAATAGTATTTTAATTTTTTCTTCTAATTTTCGTGAATAATAAAATTTTATTTTATTATTAATTTTCATTATAAAGAATACGTAAAATTAAAATGGCAAGATGAAAAAATTTAATTTATAAATACAATACATGATATGATAATTTAAATACAAGATAACAATACAATACATAACATAATAATTTAAATACAGGATAACAATACAATATAATACATAACATAATAATTTAAATACAAGATAAAGTGCAATACATAACATAATAATTAATTGATCACAACAATAATTTAGAAATCCGACAGGTCATTTTCAGATTTAGCACTATTCGGAAAAAAATAAGGATATGATTCCGAGAATGGTTGTGATTGTGGTTGTGATGGTATATGATATGGGCTATTATTTAGCTGATGGTATATATCCTAAATGGTCTACAATTGTTCAAACTATTCGTGATCCTCATTCCCAACAAAAGAAATATTTCGTGATGAAACAAGAATCGTGCCGAAAAGATGTTCAACGTTCATTCAGAGTTTTGCAATCACGTTTTGCAGTTATTGCAGGACTATCACGTTTTTGGAGAAAGGAAGTGCTACATGATATAATGACTACATGTATTATACTGCACAACATGATAATTGAGGATGAACATGATCTCAATGCACCAATTCAAGATGCCGTAGAGGCTCCAACTCCAACTATAGAAATGGTGATAGATGAAAATCTCCGATTTGAACAAATTTTAACTAGACATAAAAAAAATTAAGGACAAAAATGCTCATTTTGAACTCCGTAATGCATTAATAGAGCATTTATGCGAGCAACGTAATAATTTTGAAAATTAAGTGTTTATGTAATTGTATGTCACTTTTATTTGAATTTGTTCCCTACTTTATGTATTATATTATATTTTCTTGCAATTTATGTTCTTTAAAAATTTAGAATAAAAAATAATTTTATATCACATTAAAAATTATATAAAGTAATTATTTGGGAAAAAAGAAATAAAGGATTTATATTATGAAATAAGAAAATAAGAATGAAATAGAAATAATAATATAATATTGAGGAGAGAGAAAAAGATTCTTTTTTAGAGAGTAAAATAGAGAATTGAATTAAAGTTGGTTGTCTGAAAAAATAGAAAACTCTATATTTGGAGAGTAAAATAGAAGATTGGGTTGGAGAAGCCCTTAGGCCGTAAGCTTAAGATATGTTTGGTATCAAGAAAAATACTTTTATCGAAAATAAATAATTTACTTATTTTCTAATATTAAGTAAATAAATATTAAAAATTATTCTAATAATGAAAGGGTCATTTCCACTTTTACCCTGTTCTGTGCTAGTCTATACTATTTATCCCTGGTAATGATAGTTTTTTCATGGGACATAAATTTGCATTGTTATATCATAAGTATATATAGAATAAAAGAAATACTTTTTCATAAATAGTTCACATTTATTCGAATGATACGATTTGTTAATTTGTAACTTCTTAATGAAATGATGTAAATTTTTTAGAACACTTGAAATTACTTTTTTATTATAAAAGCAAGAGTAATGTTTCAACTTTCATTACATTAACTTTATTTTAGCTTGGTGAAAAAAAAAAACTTTGATTTAGCTTTATACATTCTTCTATTGATGAAAAGGTAAATAACGTGTCTATTTAAAGGGCATCATTTATAAGCTATATATACAACAGAGAAACAAAAAAAACCACTCTTTAATTCTCCATTATCTCAAATAGTCATTTTTCCTATTGTAAATTTCTGAACATTTATATTGATGCAACTTCAAACTTTTCAGTCAGAATATACATACTTTATGAAAATTGAAAGAGCTCTGAGACTTTATGACTCGCCTTGGTAATTTGTATCAAAGTTGAATCGAAATTATTTTTAAAATAGTGACTTGTTACGACATACTTAGTAATTATATCGATGCTTATTGAATTGTTTCTAATTTTTGTTCGATATTAATATTTGAGATTTTTTTTAACACTACGCACTTGTCAAGAGTTAATATCTCTAAAAGTCACTCAACTTTAAAAATTTATCTAGTAAAGTCATTAAACTTTGTATCAATAAAATCACTTAACTTATGTATTTATATCAATAAAATCACTCAACTTAAACATTTATGTCAATAAAATCACTCAACCAAATTTATCATTAAAAAAATAAAATAAATTGTTTTTTTATATCTAATCACAATTAAAATAATAAATAAATATCTTAAATTACTACTTTATTACAAAATAAAATATTAATATATAATTTCATTTGATAAGTTAATACTGCTCCATTTGATAAATTAATACTGCTTCATTGCAATGATGCCTACCACTTGATCTGATAGTTTAGTCAATTTCAATAATTTATCAATTTTATTTGATAAATTACTACTGCTTCATTTGACGGTATAACAACACTTGCTGTGATGGTTTAATCAATTTCTTGTTTGAGTGAATGACGCCAGCTTGAAGAATTTTAGGTTCAAGTTTGATAAATTTATCTTTTATTTTCAATTTTATATTATTTTATAATGAAATAGTAATTTTGAGTCATTTATTTAGTAGTTTAATCATGAACGTAATATAAAAAATAATTTCTTTGTGGTGTAATTTTTTTTTAATGATGAATATGATTGAGTGATTTTATTGATATAAAGAACTAAGATTTTTTTGATACAAAATAAAGTTTAATAACTTTATTAGATAAATTCCTAAAGTTTGAGATATTAACTCACTTGTCAATGCAAGGTAGATAAATTAAATATCTTTCAACATCCAAAGAGTTGGATGATTTGACGAAGAAGATTGCATAGGAAATGGGCTAATTGCTATGACTAGGCGTCTACATTCAGGTCTGACTCATATGCAATTACTTCACACTTTATTCAAATTATATTATTCTCCATCAAACCTCACCTAATTAGTGAACGCAACTCTGGTAATTTGTAATATTGCATTGTTCTCACCCCCTCCCCCACTCATTCTTATACCTAGGCCCTAGCACTAGTGATATGAGTCGAAGTGTCTGTTTGAATTAGCTTATTTTTAAGTGTTTTTGACTTTTAAATACTTTTTGTTTTTGTTTTGGAGGTGTTTGAAAAAGTTAAAAAGTACTTTTAAGCACTTTCTTTAGATTAGAAAATTTTAAAAATAAGTCAAAAATCAAAAGTTCGATCTCTCAAGAGTAGGCCTCATGTGCACGAATCCATTCGGTTGGGTTCAATTTTGGTCATTGTCGACTTGAAATTTTGAACTTTTGCAATTTTCATCTAAAATTCTATCCATTCTAGATCCAATTCGGTTCTTTTTTTTTATTTACTTTGGTTTGGTTATACAAATTGATTTGTCCAGTTTCAAAATATAAACAAGTAACTATTTTCATTTCAATTTTAAGGCAAACATAACCAAAAGTAACAAGATATTAAAATTACAGAGCAATAACCCAAAAAAACCCATAAATTTGCAAGCATATATAATAATATATGAGACACAATAGATCTAAGTTCTAACCGTCTAAGAAATATCAAAGGGGAGTGGATATCGGGATTCAGAGTAATATTTTTTAGAAGTGTATACACAATTGATTTGATTTATAATATATCCAATCATATTCATATCGAAAAATCTTAGCATTTTAATCGATTCGGAAATTCAGGCAGAACCGATTTGTGCACAGGCCTACTCAACAGTGCATTTTTCATCAAAATAGTTTCCACTAAAAATGAAAGGCCTATGGACTATTTACACTAAGGTGGATATTTGGCTTACAAGTAACCTAAATACCCCAAAAACTAAATGTAAAGATTACATGTGTAACCCAAAATTGCGAGAATAACCCAAATTACAAAGATAACCAATCACCACCAAATTACAAAAGTAGCCTAACGTTCTTGATAGCCATTTCTTGTAGGAACAATATTATCATGAGGATGCAGTACATAGGATCAATATTAACTAACCCCAACAAATTTAAAAACGTAACAGTAGAATACATAAGCTCATAAGTATACAACGTTACAAAAGGAAATTACAAAAATTAATCAAATTTCACATAATGGTGCAAGCATGAGGATTATCATCACTGAAAAGAGAAGCAACTGCTTCATCTGATGCTATTGCTACTGAATAAACTGATGGAGTATGAAAAAATGTATGCACACTCGAGGCAGCAACGTTTCGAGATGTATCGTAGTAATGGCTTATGATGTGATTTGGGTACTGATAAAATGAAGCAAAATGTGAGTAACCAACTGGATATGGCCATGGCTCTGCTGCTTTTCCTGTTCGTTTTATCGCCTTTAACACTTTCTTCTCCTCTAATCCGTAACCTCTTGCTGTAACTTTCTGCGTCTCCATATCAATGTCTATTGTTTCTACTCCTGATGAAATAGTATGTTGTACACCATTATTTCATTTAATATATGTTTGTTTACTCGTAACTATCACATAAATTAATTAACCAAATGGGGAGGCTAGTGTATTTTTGTTTGTAATGGGATTTGTTCAAATTATGTATTCAACTTAAAGTTAATTTCTAATGGAAAGTTGGGTTAGGCTAAGTAATTGTTCTAACCAATTTGTACTTGTATTGTTTCTAATACACTCCCTCCTTGCTCTGTTTCAATTTGTTTGTTCTATTTTCCTTTTTAATGAGTTTCAATAAGAATATTTCTTTATTTTTGAGAACTATTAGATTTTAATTTTTCACCTAACATGTTTAAAATCGTAAAATCAAAAAAGTATTTTGATATATTCTACACATCTTTAAATTAAAATTATAAAATACAAAAAACTTCTTTTATTTTCCTAAATTTCATGTAAAATCAAAATAGAACAAACAAAATGAAACGGAGTTAATAGTAATTAATATTGCACAGGGTATTGGCCATTAGGACTTTATAGTAATGGTGCTCTGTTCGTAACACTCTATGAACAGGGGTGGGTCAAGGGTAAAATTCAAGACTATGTCTATTCCACCCTCATGTATTCAACTTGTGAAATTATACTGAATATGTTAGTCCTCTTCGTACTTCACTTATGAAATTACATGTTGTTGTTGTTGTTGTTCTAGTGATACATAGAGAAAGAAAAATGTTTTTTTGGTGATGTTAGTGAGCAATGTAACTGACCTTTAAGCTTGAAAAGAGCTTTTCTAAGCTTGGAAGCACATCCTTCACAATCCAAGTTTGGAACTCTTACCTCTACCATAATCTGCAACATATATAATATTAATATTAGCTATATTCTCATTTACAAAATGTTATATAAATACATAGAAGAGAGGAGAAAAAGAGACTTACAGACATGTTTGATGGAACAAATTTGTTGCTAAATTTCTTAAGACTTTGAGAAAGAGAGACCTTAATTATGGCTCTCCTTAAATTTGTTTCAACTAGGACTACCTAGGTAAGTTCTCATCTTTAATATACTACTCCCTCCCTCCTGTTACATGTACCTACCAATATAAGTGTTAAGTGTGAGTCGACAAGTTCTAAATTTAATATTTGTACATAACTTATAACCAGACTTCTAACTTCGTTTCTAGTGACATCTAATAAAGATAAAATAAAGATGGTGTCATTGAATAATTGTCAAATAAGGAACAATGATATTCTTTTCGAAACAGACCAATAAAAAGATTACTCATATATTTTTTCTTTTCACTTTTACTTGTTATTTTCGTATTTGACATATGCATTAAGCAAATAATTATTGACATGATATTTTACCATATTACTCCTATTGATTATTGTTAAATATTGAGTCTTGAAAAATAATTTAAGAAATAAGCAACTAATATTAAAGTAAAACATGAAAAAAGTTAACTATCTTTTCTTGATGTAAAAAAATAATTACAAATAAAAGTGAGGAAAAAGAGTAAATTCTGACCGAAAGAACAACATCAATGAACAATATTTTTTTACAGTATTAAAGTGACACTTATTTTAGATCGATGGACCACAAAATTAAATGTATTTATGAAGGTAGCTAGGTTGGACAGGGGTACTAATTACTGCTCCCTTCATCAAAACATAGCATTGGTTTTTGAAATTTGAGGCGTGGACGTTGGCGTGATGATCACCTTTTCCCCCCACCACCCCAATGGCCCAATAACCCAAAATACCTTTCTCTCAAACACTATACACAAACAAACTGAATCTGCTTCAGCTTTATTTTTTTATTTTCTATAAAAAGTTATCAAGACAAACATACTATAATATCATCATATGTAGCCAATTAGGTTGACAACTGGACCTAGTGTGCCAAAACAAAGTTGTTGCATGCTTTCATGCAAGTCTTGTTCAAATATCCTTGCTACCTAGCTAGGTGTAATTAATTCTTTCTTGTGTTCATCACTATATATATATATATATATATATATATATATATATATATATATATATATATATGGAATGATGAATTATGATAAGGTATAATTGTTGGAATAGTTTTCAAAGGTCATGCATAATCAAATAATTTGATGATGAAGTTAAACCTAGGATTTAACTCATAGACAGTATAAACTATTTTCATATTATATAGTCTAGTCATAACTAGTATATGCCTTTTAATTTGTTGTACCACGTGACTTGGATCACTAGTTGTTTTTCTCTATTCTAATTTATGTAATATAGTTTGATTTGATACAAAATTTAAGAAAGGGGGACTGAGTTTTGAAGCTTGTAGTCTTAACAAGTCATAGATGTTCGAATGAATATAAATCATTTCAATAAGAATAAAATCGACATAAAGTTATATTTTTACTAAATATAAGAATATATAAAAAAATTTGAGACGGACTAAAAAGGAGAAGAGAGTTAGCTAAATTGAGATTGAGAGTACTAATTAGTCTCATATATGTTAGGTATGGTTATACGTCGTAATTATCATTTAACGAGTGACTTAATTTTGTGCAAATTTTCTTGCATTATAAATGTATGATATATATGATAGTGGTGAACTTTTGACTCAACCTCTGATTAATCACTAAAAAATCTATAAATATTAAAATTTTAAACCAAGTAAACAAGATTATCAATGAGTTTAATGACATTTCGAACCTATAAAATTTAAATTTTGTTAGTCCCAGTGACGGTAAGAGTTAAATTCTTGGTGGTAAGATATGGACTATATATATGTATGTTAGAGAATATTTCTTACAAAAGGCTGCAAAAATAATTAGAAAATGACGTAAAGAAAACAGATTTTTCCAAAAAGAAAATCACACACTCTCTCAGTTTCTTTTACTATTCTAGTGAACTATGTTCATGTTGACAAAGATGAGAATGCTCATAACACGAAAGCTTTATTTGGTAGCATGATTGGTACAAAAATGATGATGGTGGAGTTCAATAATAAATAATGATGGTGGCTGCCAATAGCATATCAAACACAATTAATATGTAGCACATTTTCTCATTACCATTTCAAAATTTCAAACACCTCTATTGCCACAGCGTCCAAGTAATTATTAGTATTTACTGCTTGTTTAATAATAGTTGTCCACTATTATTTGATATAGAGATTAAGAAATATTAAATGATAGAAATAATTTTACCAAATTACTTTATTAAACTGATCTATTTTTCATTTTTAATTAAAAGATATTAAAGTTAGAATGGTAAAAATGATCAAAAATATAAAAATAACATAGGTAAAATAACATTATGGCCAATTTCTGGCCAAAAGGTTTTTTTCTAAATATAAGTCATCTAAATATTGAAAAATGAATAGTATTTAATAGCAAGAGTAAAATAGACATAACATGATAAATTATTCATTGATTTTATAAATGGACACATATTGTTAGACATTTTAAAATAGTATAGTTGACAAATAAAAATGAATGGAGATAGTAATTTATTTGTCTTAGTTTTGAAATTATTCAATATTGTAACTTATATTATTTTTTATGTCATTTTTTTTTTAAGATTCTATGTTCGATTGGAAAAGAAGGAATAATACTGAGAAGACTGGAGTAAAACTTAATAGTGAGTGTTGGTGTATATATGTATTTTAATATTAAAATTATAATATTAAAGTGTATGATATATTATTGGACATAAAGCGGAGAAATTGATGCCATTATTCCTTATAATTCATATAACTACTATTGTATGTTCTTCTTATTATATCCTACTAATTATCCCACTACGCATCAAATTATCCACTGTCTCTATGTTTACAATGTGGAAGAAATACTACACCTATATAAATGATGTTTTCTTTCTTTGTGTTGTATAGATGAGATGCATGAGAAGTATTGTGTCGTAGATGAATAAACAGTGTATTGTCTTTATAGTTTGAGGTTGATATAGTGAATTAGAGAGTGGAGAAAAAAATATTCTTAACCTCCAACTAATTATGCACTATACAAAAGAGTAGTATATAAGGAATGTGTTCTTTTGATGGAATTTTGGACTCTTCAACTAATTTTGAGTTATACAACGTTGTCGAATTATTATATCTGCAAGGGACAAGTCAAGAGTTATATTGCTAGATCGATGAAGATTATACCGCATTGAACTTGAATCTTCTTAAAATATATGTAGTGAACTGCAATGAACATAATAAATGTAGTTGAGAGGGCCCCGTGGCTCCGCACAACTGAGGAGCATATATATTGTTTTATGTATATAACTGAACAACCTAGTGGCTCTAAGTAATTGATCACGCAAGGCTCTTGTATTTGTATTTGAGCACACAAGGCTTAAGTATTTGTATCTGGCACATAAGGCTCATGTATCTATATATTAGCACACAATACTCGGTACATCTGTATATGAGTTTACTAGACTCTTGTGTTTGTATCTGAGCACACAAGTTTCCAAGTGTCTGAAGAATTCACAAGAGTCTCAAAATCAATAACAAAGATAAGCATGTATCCCAAAAGCAAGTGACCAAGCTATCAATGGCCCATTAGCTCAGTTGGTTAGAGCGTCGTGCTAATAACGCGAAGGTCGCAGGTTCGAGACCTGCATGGGCCAAATTCTATAATTTTTTATTTTTAAAAAATGACCAAGTTGTAAGCACTATCTGCAAATTTATCAAAGATAGAATTAATGAAAAAAGAGTCTTATTTTGCTCTCAATCTTAAAATGCAACCCGAAACCTTACCACGCAACCAAATCACTTGTGTCAATATACGAACGAACCTAACCATCAAATTGACAGGGGAAAATATACTACAACAATAGACTCATTACTATAACTTTTGTTAAGGACTTAAACTAGAAATATCAACATCAATGGAGAATTTATGATATATGCATTTTTTTTTTGTCTAAGGACATAAAGTGGAAGTGAGACAAATGACGAAAATCATATATTTGTAAGCCTCTACAGACTTACGGTAAGTATCTGCTTGTACAGTCTCACAAAAATGTGAATATCTCTCTATTCTAAAGTTATTTTGGTGAACGGATTAGAAACTAGATTCGTAGATCTTATATTTGATAGGTATTCCAACCTCTAACTCTTTATAATTGAGAAAAAAGTTTCGAGACATTTGATCTAATTTACGATAAATTTTACCAATTTTTGCGACTTCAAAAATTAAACGATCTTTGAGAGATTTAAATACCTAATGACACATTATTCTTTATCATATTAAACCCTCAAAGTCTTTATCATAAAAATAAACGAGTGGGTTGTTAAAATTTCATAGTTATTGGGAGAAGCAAATTTTGCAGCTAAATGTTTTTTTATATTTCTCCCCTGCAATTAATTAAAAACATTAAAAGAAGAAAAGAAATGTAAAAGAATAAATAACGTTTGGGTGCTGAAAGTCCCTAAAAAGATGGGCTTCCCCATAAATTAAGGTAAAAGCCCATTCAAATCACTGGTCTAAGAGTGAGCCCAGTCAATTGACTCGGTCACTCACACTTTGTAATTTACTTCTCTACAACAAAAACAAAATTTGTTAAATTTTAACAAAATACTGTTTTTCTTTCTCTACTTTCAATTGCATGGCTCCAAGTATTCAAGCTATTTTTTTATACAACAATAAAGAAAGAAAAGCAGGTGCATAATTTCTTCCTTTATGTAACTTTTTAAAAGTTTGATATATTTTAAAAATAAGATATGTTATCTGTAACTTATGTTGTTAGCACTCTTTAAAAATGTCAAAATGTTTGTCAGATTCTTCAAAAATAATGTATTTTTTGAGAAAAGTACATGAATGTGGTATATCAAAAGTGAAGAATCTGCACAAACAACAGGTGAAAAAGACTAGTGACAATGCACTACTATAGTTATATAAGTTCACGAGAAAAAAAAACTTTTCTCAAGGTGGAATTTTGCATGTTATCTGACAATTTTTGTACTATTAACAAGTATTTTGCTTTTCCCGTTTAAACGGGGGATATGGTTATGAAGAAATGAAATTCATATATCAGACTCCAACTTGTTTTAGGCTGACGCGTAGCAATGATTATTGTTGTTGTTATTGGTTTAATCTGAAATGTTGATTTAATATCAGGGAATTTGAGGAGGCAGAAGGAAACTCATGGAAATTGGATATCAAAGGGTTGGGAATCAAAGAAGATCTATAGAGTCATTTTGGCTTCCATTTTACATTAACAAACCCTTTGCTAAATACTTTCTTCTTTTCTTCATTTTCCTCCTTGTAATTGGTTCATACTTGTGGACAACTCTACTCGACACAACCTCAAACGTAAGTTCCTTTATTTTACATTGGTAATTGTTCATATGTTAGTTGAACGCCTTTCAGAAACAGTCTCTCTACCATCACGAGATACTAGCGTATGTTGTTGTTGTTGTAATTGTTACTATGTGTTATTGAGATATTACAAATTCCCAAATTTCACCTATGTTGTTGTTGTTGTTGTTGTAATTGTTACTATGTGTTATTGAGAAATTACAAATTCCCAAATTTCACCACTTAATTGTCCCTTAATGAGTTGTTACAACTCCAAAATCAACATTAAAATTGTATTAGCTTGTAACTTTAATTGAAATAGTCTCTCGCGTACACTCTACCCTTCTCAGACCCCACTTGTCGAATTTCACTTAGTATGTTTTAGTAGTAGTAGCTTGTAACATTAATTGTAGACTCTGTTTCCCAATAGAGGCTAAATTTTTGTTGTGGTTTTCGATATGTTGTAGGTATGGCAAAGTAGGAGAGGGAAATTTCCACTTAATTGTTCATCTGGTAACAACACAAGAACATGTCCAGTAAATTACTACCCAGCAGATTACAAATTCGTTAACGACAACCCTTCATCGTCTTCTCCAAAATGTCCACATTACTTTCATTGGATACACGAAGATTTAAAACCATGGAGGAAAACAGGTATAACTGAAGAAATGGTGGAGAGGGCTAACAGGACAGCCAATTTTAGACTTGTAATATTGAATGGAAGGGCTTATGTAGAAACATATGAAAAGGGGTTTCAAACTAGAGATGTTTTTACATTATGGGGAATTCTTCAGTTGTTAAGAAGGTACCCTGGAAAAATTCCTGATCTTGATATGATGTTCGATTGTGTCGATTGGCCTGTTGTTAGATCAAGTGATTTTGCTGGGGAAAATGCTGTTGCTCCTCCCCCTTTGTTTCGATATTGTGGGGATAACGAAACGTTGGATATTGTTTTTCCTGATTGGTCTTTTTGGGGATGGTAAGGATACAAATTACACTTTTAACTTTTGTGCAGAGTTTGTGTAGTTCAGAACTATGTTGCTCGGACACTTTGAAAATGTTGATGCACTCGTCGTGTTCACTAAGACGGTATTTTTGAAGAGTTCGAGCAACAGAGGTTCAGAATTTTGATTTATGAGACGGTTTCATAATGCATGCATAAGTTGTTAGTTTGATTGATTTGGTAGGGCTGAAATCAATATAAAGCCATGGCAAGACTTGTTGAAAGATCTTGACAAAGGGAATAAGATGCAGAGATGGATGAATAGGGAGCCATATGCTTACTGGAAAGGCAATCCGGAAGTCGCTGAGAAGAGAATGGAACTCGTTAAGTGCAATGTGACTGAAAATCAGGAATCGAATGCTCGCATTTATGTCCAGGTGAACTTCCACACTCCCCCCCCTTCCTTCGTTGATATTGTCATTTAACTGAAAACTCTATAAGCGTGTCATCATGTTAAGTTAGGCTAACTTCAAAACTAGATGTCCTTTCATTAGGACAAAAGGAATAAATCTTACTAGAAAGAACCTTAGACGACTTCTGGATGCATCCTTGACTTTGTTGTTCATAGTAGTAGCTTGCCAAGTGGGAGAATGAGGACTGTTCCGACATTATAAATCCCGTGTAACTAGAATGTGAACCAAAAAGAGTTCAGGCTAGTGAAAGATTGTTGTGTGGGAAGAAAAAAAGAAAAGTCTCACTTAATTCTGTTGAAGAGAATTTTACTGGTGTAAAATCGAATGTCAAAGAGACTCATCATAAGTATGAACTCTGGTCTCACGAAGGTTTAAAATTTAATGGACACATTTGGTGCTGTTTACAGGATTGGAAAGAAGAGATAAAGCAAGGATTCAAGCATTCCGACTTAGGAAATCAATGTCACCATAGGTATATGCAACACTAAATTTCATTGTCATCTATTTCTATTATCCTCGGCCATTCCACACGCTGCCTAGCAGAGACGTAAATTTAATACTTACCAATTGCTTGCAGATACAAAATATACATTGAAGGATCTGCTTGGTCTGTTAGTGAGAAATATATTCTTGCTTGTGACTCAGTTTCTTTGCTAGTAACACCTCACTACTATGATTTCTTCTCAAGAAGTTTGTTGCCACTAGTCCACTATTGGCCCATAAATGAAGATGACAAGTGTGGATCCATCAAATTTGCAGTTGATTGGGGCAATAAGTACAAGAAAAAGGTACTTCCTCCGTCCCAATTTATGTAACGTAGTTTGCTTTGGCACAAAGCGTAAAAAGGAAAGAAAGACTTTCGAAACTTGTAGTCTAAAATAAGTCAAAGATGTTTGTATGACTATAAATCATTTTATTAAGAGTAAAATAAACATTTTAAAACTAAATTGTCATTCTTGTTGTGACTGAGTAAAAAAGAAAGCGAGTCATATAAATTGAGACAAAGAGAGTCACAAACTATTTACCTTGTAACAACTAAGTGGTATCAATAATATAGCCAAATCTCTCTATAACGACGTCGTTTGCTGCTATAGCAAAATGTTGTTATAGAGAACGTAAAGTATAACATAACATGGGAAATTCGACTTTTATAATGAAATATTGTTAAAGAGAGATCTGACTGTCCTGACGACTTTTCTCAGGTACAAAGAATTGGTAGAAAAGCAAGTGATTTTATTCAAGAGGATTTGAGGATGGAGTATGTATATGATTACATGTTTCATCTATTAAATGAATATGCTAAGCTGCTTAAATACAAGCCAAGTGTGCCTAAAAATGCAAGTGAACTCTGCTCAGAGATAATGGCATGTCCAGCTGAAGGTACTGAAAAGAAGTTAATGATGGAATCAATGGTGAATTGGCCAATTGATGAAAGTCCATGCAAAATGCCTATACCTTTTAATAAATTGTCTCTTGATTCATATCATAAAAGAAAACAAAATTCAATAAAAGAGGTCCGTACATTGGAGAGAGATTACTTGAGGGAGCAAAGAGTGAAAACTAAGATACTAGGTTAGTGTTAATTTTTGACTTTTGTACTAATACTTTTAGGTGATTTTGTAATGTCATGAAAGAAATTTTCTATGCCACGAGCACGAGCGGAGGTACAATGTTACGTATGGGTTCGGACAAACTCAGTAACTTTTGCTTGATTCTCGTGAGAGGATGAATGTAATTCAACTCGATCTATAAAAAGAGAGAATTATTTTATTGAGTTCTCGGAGATGTTAGGTTTGTATTAGAAAATCATTAGATATACATAAATATTTAATTACAAACTCAATAGCTAAAACTAGTACTCCCTTTGGTCCCATATTATCTACACTCATTAAGAAATACATTCACTCCTAAAAAAAAGAGGGGTTTTCTCTAAAATGTCCTTAATTAAATAATACGTAACTTAATATTATATAATGGTTATGTAAAATTTGCTTATTTAAATAAGGGTAAATTTGAAAATATAATTAATACATGATTACGTAAAAAAAAAAACTCAATTTATTTTAGACTAAGAGCCCGTTTGCCATCACTGTTGTGAGGCCAGAAGCACTTATTTTGAGAAAAAATATTTTAATTGAAAAATTAAGTGTTTGAAAAATCAGTAAAAGTGCTTTTAAATGGAAGTATAAACACAGTTTTTCAGCTATTGGGAAGAAACTAAAAATTTCTGTTTTTTCAAAAAAGCAACAAAAAATTATTTTTCTCGACTAAAATATCCTTTTCATACATACATATTTACCAATATATTTCTTATTAATTAATTAGCATATTTCATAATTTTGGTTAAATTTAATTTAAGAATTTATTTTTTTATACAAAATTTTATAATTTATATTACATTTATATATTATTATTTTATATATTATATATTATTTTGCGTATTATTTTTTAGAATTAGAAAAAAAAAGGTAACCACAATATTTTTAAAAGATTAAAAAAAAGGAAAAATAACCGTTAAAGATTTCAGTCTCCCAAAAAAGGTATAATATTGATTGAAAATCTAAACATGTAAATTTTAATTTAATAAAAATAAAAATAAAAATTTAAAATAGTTTCTCTTCATAAAGCAATTTTAATATTAGAAGTACATTAATAGTTGTCATTTTATGTAATTTGACTCTCAAAATCACTTTTCAAAAAGATCAGCCAAACGCAATTTACTTATGAAAAACACTTTTCAAATTAATTACCAAACACAAAATGTTTTTTTTTTTCAAAAACACTTTTCTAAAAAAGTGCTTTTAAAATAAGTTTTTTTTAGAAGCAAAATACCAAACAGGCTCAAAGAGCCTAGATAATTTGACTTATGGCTTTTAAGCTCTTTTACAATGTTGGGGTAGTTGAAAAAGTGTTTTAAGTTAAAATAATACTCCCTCTATTTCATATTAAGTGAATTTTTGAGGTTTTTTCATTGTTCAAAATATTGAATTGTTCAAAGTTCAAGGTGATGTTTGAATTTTTTTTGTTCTGTCCTTTAAAAAGTTATATATTTCCTAGAAGATAAATTGCACTACTTACAAGATTATACTACCTCTGTCCCTAATTACTTATCCATTTTTTATATAGTGAGTTTACCATTTTATCCCTATTAATTGATAGAATTTCAAAATCAATTTACTCATTAGAGAGGTTCTACCTTTTCAATAAACATTAACTCTCTAAATAAATTGAATATATAATAGATAAAAAAATATTGTCTTTTATTGATTTGTCAAAAATGACAAGTAAAAAAGTCAAAATTGGACAAGTGAAAACAGAGTGAGTATTTATGATATCAGAAGGGCTGGAAAATATAATTTGAAAATATAAAGTGGACCCTATACATGATACTTAAGAAAGTATTTTAGTAATTTTCCTATTCGTACATTCTGATTATTTGCGTATAATTCAATTCATCAATGATAAATATTCCTTAATTGTTCTTGGTAAGCAGTTTAAATAAACTATAAACTTAGTATATTTATATATCAACTCAAAGTACATTGATACAATTATAGTATGGTTACATATTTATTAGATAACTATATATATACACAATTAAATCTTATGCATATTGGGTAATACATTAAACTTTTTACTAATATTATAATACCTTAATTACAAGTAAGAGCTATAATTAGTATTATGTTTAATTTTAAAGAATAACTTCTAATTGATGAGATAAATTTTATTTCATCCAACTAAGAAGTTTTTACGAAATGTGTCAAGTTTAAAAAGTTATGTACTCTAATAGCCTATTTTATTTTAAATTAAATATATAAATGTAAAATATACATTGTACAGATTGCAATAATCCAGAAATATAAAAGAGAAATAAAATTCCCACTAAGAGGTATAAATGAAGGCTTAGTATAAAAGAAAAAATAACAATTAGCAGCTATATATATTTTTTTACATTGAGATGAACAAGTTTATTGTTTATGTTTGATAAACACAATTTTAGTCCATTAATGGCGACTAAGACGAAAACTAGTACTGTAAGATCTTCAGTAATCATCCTCGTCTTCCTTTTTCTCTTCATCGGAGTTATCCTCTTCCGTGCTTCCTTCGAAATTAATGTAAGTTCATTTTCCTTAATCAAAACAATGTTACGTTGTCTCCTTCGATGTCTTGATTAATTGATCGTTTATTGATACAACACTTTGATTAATTTGAATCAAGCGGGTTTCGCTGCTAGTAGCTTCCTGAATTAGTTAAATAGCTTTTTCCAAGCAAAGCTTACCATTAAATTGATATGATAAAAGTTATAATGTATAGTAGTATTTTTCTTATAGATTTTGGATATTGTTTTTTGTGTGAAAGATATAGTTGATCTAATCTAATTTCGCATTAAAAATTAGTATAGTTAATTTTCGAAAAATGATGATAGTTATTTTAGAATGTGGTGTACGAGACAATGAAACAATTTTCCTATGGCAAGTACACCAAGTGTAGGTTATAGAGGCGACCATGGATGAGTTGGATTGAATTTAGGCGGGTCAAAATGAACTAGATTTAAATAAAAATGGATGGATTGTTGGCTTATACAAAAATTACTTGGCTAGAATAGATTAAAATGTGGGTCAAAAAGTATATTGAAGAATTTTCTCATAGATCAAATCGTTTCAATTCATGATTGGACATAGAATTTATAAAGTAACATTTTTTTAAAGAAAATTATGTAATTTTAAACATATAATATTTTTATGACTAAAAAACTTTTGAAATTTCGGAACCATTTAGTACAAAATAAGGTTATTCAAGGGTAATAACCAAAAAAAAGAAGAAGAAGATAATTTCACCTTTTATATTGGCATTCATAATTTAATAAGTTTGTATATAAATTTTAGCTTGACTTTATCTAATACAACAAAATCAAACACTAGACAAGCCTTTAAGTTTTATATTGAGATAACCCCTCATCCTTGCAACCAAAAATCCCCATATAGTTTTAAAAGGTGTTAAATTGTGTGTCCATATAAATTTATCTCATCGAGTAAATTAAAATATTTAAGTTAAATTATTTTCAACTTTAAAAAACAAGTACTATTTCTTTTGAAACGGAGTAAATAAGTAAGATCATGTAAATAGAACATAGGAAATACTTGAGATCACACTGACAAATAAGTTAGCTTAACCAAACCAGGTGATGTGTTGAAGACCATCAAGGCTTATGATCTAGTGGAGCAGATGAGACAATAGAGAGTTGCTCAAATGATAAACATCATCGAATGAAATAACTATATAGTGTGTGTGTTTCCATCAGAGGCGGAGCTAGGTAGGGGTTCGTGGGTTCAGACGAACCCAATAGCTTTTTCGTAGATCTTATATTTGTACTAGAAAATTAAATAAATATATATGTATATTAACTTGTGAACCCCTAACAAAATTGATTGATGGTTTAGTGGTAAGGAAGAAACTGTGGAAATGTTTTCCACACTATAGTAGCGGATTTGAACCCATAAACTCTTAATCCCGACTCTGCCTCTGGTTCCCATGTGTGTGTATTCAGCTACTCAATCTTGATCCTCTTGTTTTTGTTGATTGACAGTCCATTCTCACTGATACAACTCCAACAGTCTCAGTACAGCTTCAAAAGAAACTACAACTCCAACTAAATTGTACAAATGGGAACCTTACAAACACTTGCCCTGCTTCTTACTACCCGTTAAAGTTCACGAATCAAAATCAATCCAATTCATCATCATCTACATGTCCTGATTACTTTCGTTGGATCTACGATGATCTATGGCCTTGGAGAGAAACAGGAGTCACCGAAGAAATGGTGATGGCAGGCAAAAGTAATGCAGATTTTCGATTGGTGATCGTGGATGGAAGAGCATACGTTGAAACGTATCGAGAGTCATTTCAAAGCAGAGATACATTTACATTATGGGGTATTTTACAAATGTTACGTAGGTACCCTGGTAAAGTACCTGATTTGGACCTGATGTTCAATTGTGGTGACAGTACAGTTACTAAGACTAAATTCTATCGACGCCCTAATGCCCCTGCTCCTCCACCTCTCTTCCGATACTGTGGAAATGACGCGAGTTTGGATATTGTTTTTCCAGATTGGTCGTTCTGGGGATGGTATAGTTACCCCTAATCACTCTCTTTGCTTGCAATATTGATATGATCATCCCTAACTTTCTCTTTTTGTTCGAAATAACAATGTTTAGGGCAGAGATTAATATAAAGCCTTGGGAGACATTGTCAAAGGAGTTAAAAAAAGCGAATGAGAAGTTAAAATGGAGCAAGAGGGAACCATATGCATACTGGAAGGGTAATCCATATGTTGCTGGGACCAGGATGGAAATGCTCAAGTGCAATGTTTCCGAAAAACAGGACTGGAATGCGCGTATATATAAACAGGTAATGAATCATCTACGTTCATTGTCAGGATATACAAATACAAATACAATACGGGAGGTAGAATAATGTAAAATAAATTGAACATATGTAGGACTGGATTAAAGAACAGAAGCAAGGTTTTAAGCAATCAAATTTAGCTAATCAGTGCAAACACAGGTATGAA